TACTCCCTAACATCGTTCACCTCCTTTACTTTCAGCAGCTTCACTACAAACATCACAATGAACTGCACACAACAGGGGAGGAGAACAGGAAATGCAAAGAAATCAGACGGCGTGTCCAAAAATGAAAGACTTTTAGGGTTTGAACAAAACATTTGACAAAACCAGCGTCCTCACCAAGAACCAGTAGATGTTCATGAGAAGCAGGGCGAAGAGAAGCGCATTGAAGAAGAAGTAAAAGGGGATGTGGGGGACGGACTGGAGGCTGGACACACATGTGGCATACATGACTTTGAGGGGGAACCAGTACAGACGGAACCAGAACCTGAGAGAGACGAAAACAGGAACACAATTACACATCCGCTCGTCTTCAGCGTCTTGCAGACAGAATAATTATAACGCTGTCAAGACTACAAAACGCTTCACCGTGATGGAGAACAAATGGAGAACAAGCAGCTGAGGAAAATAAGCCGATGTTAAATCTCTCACCAAGTGATGCTGAAGCTGACGGAGCCCAAGTTGGACAGCACGTCGTTTAGCAGGTAATAGCCTCCTCCTCTGGACTTCAGGTAGACGTTGAGCTTGGTGAACTCCAGCTGGATGTCGTTGATGTCGTGCAGGAATAACACTAGGATCCCGATGTTGTGGTATCTGGAGGGCAGAGAGCACAGACGGTGGCACGAGGATCCTGATAGATGCTGAGCTCAGTGACAAGCAGAAAGCAGACTTGACTTTTACATTTTCTAAACATTCACTCTGTTGTCTTTGTTCTTTGGGTCGGTACAATGTGATATTTAGACACCCCACATAGCATTTTATCCTTTTTACCTCAAAACACTGAAGAGGTCAGCGGTCCAATTACAATTCAGTCTTATATATATAGCTCCAAACACAACAACAGTTGCACAAAAGCATTTTGTATGTCCTACAACAACACAGAGAAAGCCCCAGTAATCATATGAGCCCCTAAAAGCAAGAGCTCTGGCGACAGTGGGAAGGAAAAACTCCCTTTTAACAGGAAGAAGCCTCCGACAGAGCCAGCCTCAGGGAGGGGCGGGGCCATCTGTAACGTGATAAATGTCATTCCCTCGATGTTGTCAGCAATCGTATTTACAGATTTACTTTTTTTTCTGATAATCTGCATTTTACTTAATTAAAAGAAAGACAGTGAACGAACACATCTGCTCTAGTTTCCACTAAACTCTGCCTCCTACCCTCCAGTCAAACTGGTGTTTCGACTAACCAACCAAAACTATACAATCATTCATGAACTGTGATTTTGTGCTTCTGTGTTAGAAAATGAGCTCACGTGTGCAAAAAACTCACAGATTAAACCAGGAAAAAGAAAAAATACCTGAATGCGTAGGAGAAGCTGATGAGCGCCAGCGTGATGATGTGGTGCACCACCATGACAGCAGAGTCCTTCCTCCACGCGTCCATATAGATGGTAGCATAAATGGAGTGGCCGTAGAAGCTGCCCTGGATCAGGTAGGCGATGGCGATGTCTGTAGGCACTGACATACCGCTCTTCCAGTCTGCAGGGACAGATGGGAAATGTTATCCTGCTTGCATAAGAAGATGTTTTAAGAACACGCTTGTGAATGTAGATAATGAATGATGTACAGTAAAGCATTTTGTTTTTATTCTGGACTTTACTGTTTCCCTTCCTGTCGCCAACGCCGTCTTTAACACGACCATAATTAACAAAGATACTCTGTCTACAGGGCAGCAACACCACACACTGGGCGATACAGGTTTCTAGTCTTAACGAGCTTTTGTGGGGGGTTTTTTTTGGTAACACTTTTTTGTAACACTTTGTAATTTTAAGCCATTAAACTGTGGTCAACCAAACATGCAGAAAGGCCTCAGCTGACGGTGAGATTCAAATCCAGAGCTCATTAACATCCGTGCACAAGTCAACCATGTGTGCACTTCTTAAAGCCTCTAAAACACATGACTATCTGCCGGTCATCAACATCTTTGTTAATCGATAAATGCACGATGACCTCGGTTTGGATCGAGACGTGCAGTGAAAACAGAACATCTTCCAATAAACACAAAGAGTCGTGCAGTAGGGGTGGGCGATATAAACGATATACAATAGAAACGATATAAATTTGGCCAACGATAGAGATTTTGACATGTTGATGATGTCATCAAGCTGCGCCTGTTTTGGTCGAAAGCGTCGCAGCGGCTACAACCAACCATTATCATCTGCAAATTATGCGGAGCGACAGTCATGGCAAAGAGATGAAGCACTGTTGAAATATGGGGAAAGCCAAAAACTGCGCTTCCTCCACTTCCGTAACATTGATTCATTAATGTTGAATTCTCTCGCAGCTGCTCTGTTCCCATGTTGTTGCAGTAAATTAATTGTGGATGAATAATCTCAGTTGTTCTCCTGAGTGAAGTTTGGCCCGTGTATAGCATCCTGCTATGCGATTGCATTTGTCCCTGACCACCAGAATCCCTCACGTT